GAAAAAAAATACTGAGAGCTCGCATTCTCCACTCGAGCGGAGGTTTCCTCGCTCGAGCGGACTGTGAAATTCTGGGTTTCCAAAAACAGAGTTTGAGCTTCAAAATGCCATTTCAATGGCTTCACTCATGCATAGCTTGATCAAAACACTTGGCAAACTTTTCTAAAACACACATATATGATCATTTTCAAACCTTTAGCTCAAGACTCATGGATTTAGCAAATTTGAACCTAAAAGCTCATGCATAAAAGATTTTCAAACTATTTTCTTGATTTCTTCAAAACATGCAAATGGTTGGTATGAATCCATGAATTTCCAAAACATTATGCAAGATATGAACTCACATGCTTGCAATGGCTTCAAAACTCTAACTCAAAATGATGGAACCAAAAGGTTAACCTCCAAGGCTGCACATGCAAGACATCTACAAGCCCAAAGACCCACTTCTCTTGCTAATTTCATGAAAATGGTTCAAAGATGTGTTGAAATCATGATGCATGAAGGAATAGCTACAGAAATTAGACATATAATCCTTACCCAAGGCTTTAATTTCAGAAATGTGAGATGAATTTCCTAGTTTTCTTCTTCTTCTTCTAACTTGTGAGCTCTCTCTCTTAAGCTTGAACTCTCAACTTAATGAAGTATAAAGGGCCAAGGAATGTTGCCTACATTCTCTCATATCTCATCAGAAATTGCACAACACACACTCTCACATTTGAATACACAACACGTGCACACACATGCACTACTCCAACACACCCACAAGGATTTATCCTCTACACTCAACACCATCAAATGCCTCAACACATTATGCACTCAAATACATCTTGGATCATTAATAGGATTAGATTAGGTACCAATCATGCATCATTTAAATCAAACACAAATAACCTTAATTAGTCAAGATTAGCACAAAATTCAATTATTCAAAAATAGTTCCAATTAAGGCTTAATTTAATCACATGCAATTTTACAAAACTGAATCAGTTTTTAACAAAACTTTTCAGATGGTTCTAAAAATTCTAATTAGTCAACCCATGAACTCAAATTCGGTTTCTAAAAGTATTTAGGCTAACAACTTCAGATTCTAAGTAGAAACCATAACAGATAATTCTATGAATAACAGATAGAAAGCCAAATCATGAAGAATTACGTTATAAACTCATAATCCATTCTATTTACTTAATTAGCATCCTTAATTACTGATTAGTAGCTAATTACGAGTCGGGGTTATTACAATAGAACAAACAAAGGATATGGGAGCGATTCAACTCACCACTTCTAGTTAGATTACAATAAATTATAACATGAAATTAAGGCAAGAAACAAGATGGAAATGAAGGCAAGAGGCTTGAAACATAATGGAAATCAAGACAAGAAACTCAAAACAAGATGGAAAATACAAGGAAATGAAAGTGTGCGAAATTCACCTTCCAAGGAGAGATGAACTTCTTGATTCACAAACTTCTTTTTTGATCACCCTTAAGCTTAGGAAGTGTGTTCTCAATCCTCAATTCAAAACTAGAATGGAGCTCTGGGAATGTTTGATGGAAAAGTGGCTAACTCTCTTATTTTTCCTCATTTTCATTGAAATTCAATTATTTCAGAATTTTTGGAGTTGTTTTGGGTGTATAAAAGGTGGAATTTCAGTGTGCATAAGCCATGCAAGGTGTATATGGAAGATGGAAGTATTTTTGGCTCAAAACTTGAGCGTTCTCTCTTTTTCTCACTCTTTTCTCTTTAATTTTGTGGTTTTCTTTTTCTCTACACAATCTGATGATGTATATAGGCAATAAGAAAGAGCTAAGGTCAAAGAGAAGGTGGGAGACAAGAATGTGATAGAAGGACAAAGTTTTAAAAGTGATTAGATTGGATTCCTCTTTTATGGATGCAAACAAATTTTTTTTTGACAATGGAAGGTGATTAGGTATGTATTTAGTGATATATGCGGCAGCCAATGGGGTAGGGAAGTGTCCCATACACAAAAAAAAAATGCAAAAATACATCTTCTCTGCCTACTGGCTTGAAGTGATCAAATATTATTTGGGGAGAAACATAACATAAGCTGAGACTTTGGCAAAGTGGTTAAGGTTTAGGACCTAAAGTCCTAGGTTGGGGGTTCAAACCCTTTTTTGCTGGCATTTTTGTTTCTTGTTTCTGGATAAAGACATGTCAGCGCCACATCATCAACACGGACAAATCTAGTCATGTCACATCATCAGCACGGACCAATCTAATCATGCCAAGTCAGCATTGACGAAATATTTCTTGACTTAACAGAATATTCTTTTTCTGGGTAAAAATATGTCAGCGCCACATCATCAACACAGACCAATCCAGTCATGCCACGTCAGCAACACCGTCACGTCAGCGTCACAGTCAGCATTGACAGAATATTTACTGACTTAACAGAATATTCCCTATCTTAACGGAATATTCGTCTCTTTAACGCTAGAAAGGTAATTTGTGACTGTTTTTGAGACCGGAAGGTTTATTCCTAATTAAAAAACTTAGCCAGAACAGGTTTAGGGTTGGAAATAAAGGCTCAAAATCTATTTTCTTAATGTGGATTCTATGAGAAACACCTTCTTGTTTTCATTATCGAGCAATCAAACGAAAACACCCAAATCTTAGGGTCAATCAAAATGAAGTGTTTATTAATGTCCTCTCAATTGATAACCAATCCGAACAAATATTAATCTTGGTCTTACAAAAGTAGATCTTTGCGATTTCATCTCAAAGTGTTGCCTACTTCATTTCCAGTAATCTCTTGATTGTGTAATTAGATTTTAGCTCACACGCCTACTATTCAAGTTCATTTCATGAAAAGCTTAATTAGTTCAATTAATTTTATTCGATCGAGAATATTAAATACATTCGACAACCTTACTATTGTGTGCTCTATTTATTTATTTTATTACAATAAATTTAAAAAAAGAATAAATTAAATTACTCAGAGATTCAAACTTGATAATCATATAAGAAAAAGCCTCATCTCTAAGAGGTGCGTCTGGCCAAGTTCGAGCCAAATTTGTATTACATAGTAAGAACATATATATCATCCTAAATCTTTCTCATTTAACTTTTTTGGATTTTGGAGGGCTATTAATTAACAACAATACTAGGTAGCTCAAAATTTCGTGGTTCAAATCACTCAAAACGACGTCGTTTTGAGTGTAAATGAGTGTAAAACGACGTCGTTTTGACAAATTTGAACCATTTGAGCCACAAAATTTTGAGCTACCAAACATTTTCCATTAATTAAATTGGATACACTACAATACACTCCTTCAGGTTTACTTAAAATATAAATTGTTCTATGTGGTTTTGAAAATTACATCATGCCCCTTCAAGTTTCTAATCACATAATAAATGGCCAATTTTATTAATAAATTAATAAGTCAATTAACAGTTTTTAAATGTATAAGAAAAATATTTCAATTAACAATTTAGGTAATTTTATTGTTGAATAAGAGAGTAGTTAGGAATTTTATTTTTTCTATTAATTTTGTTATATAAAGAGTTCTAACTAGGAAGTATTTGTAATATTCAAAATTATAGAGGACAATCCATATTTTAAGCAAATTTTAAGAAGTGTATTCGTAATTTACCCAAATAAATTTGACCATTCTAAAATTATTTGAATTTAGATCACTAATAAAATCCAATTGTAATAATTTTGTACCTTTTAACAAATGTTTGAATTCAAGTTCTAAAAATAAGCATGTATGTGTTTTTAATTTCTTCAATTTCTAGTTTATTATGTAATTAAAAAATAAAAAATTATTGTAAAATGAGCGAATGGGGCTAAAATTTTTCATTCCAAATCCAACCCAAACCCCATGAGCTAAAATATTATCCAAGCGCTAGAAATATCGAATTGAGTACATTTCAAAATTGGAAAAAAAAAATAGGTCTCATTTGAATTTAATATCTACACCACACATTATATTTTCTAAATACTATTGAAATATTTTGCATATCTATACCTAAATTAACAGAAGTTAACCAGACAATAATAGTTTGCCACAACGCTTAATACATAAAAATAAGATAAATTACAGTCACCTCCCGTAAGATTTGGAAAAAAAAATACAATTTGTTCTATACATTTGCCATAATTGTTCTAGTCTCCTTTAAAATTTTAATTCGCATAATACTTAGACCATTTTTTATCAGTTATTCGTATAAAAAATTATTTTGTCATTTATTTTAGTGTATACTCGACATCTGCATTAATTTTAGTTGCTCTAGCCTTATAAAAAAGGAAAGTAGTATAATTAGGTCAAATGTGTGGGACTAATTGCATTTTTTTTAAACCTAAGGAAAGGCAAGTGCAATTTACCCTAAAAACAATATGCTTTACCCTAAAATTGTGTTTAGATTTCAAATTTGGGAAATAATTTGTAAATAGGAAAAAAGAAAAGAGAAAGGGAAAACATATACATATATATATATATATATATCTTTCATTTCTCATTTTCCTTTTCCTTTTTCTTTTTGGCTTTTTCATTTTTCTTTACAATTTAAAATCCAAAACTTGAATAGATGCAAAACTTCCTCATCAGCATGGACCACTCTTAACATATTTGGATATCAAATATACCGAGAAAGTTGTGAAGTAAAAAACAAAAAATCAAAGGAAAGTGCAAAGTTTTTCTCTTATTCCTTCACAAATCCCTTCATAAATTCCAGATCCAAATACAGCCTCGACGAATTCACAATGCAGGATTGCACAACTACTAACATTTCCTTTCCAGGGGAGAAAAATACTTCAAAATTCAAAAGTTGTTTTTCTTCATTTTAATTTACATCTAAAAACATCATAAAAATAGAATAAACAGGCAATTTCTAATTGAAGTTCACTGGATTCATCAACCGTACACAGTTTGTCCAAAAGCCTGAACTGCTTGATTTGCCACAATAATAGCAATTAGCAGAGACTCGGAGGAATGGCATGAGGAAAGAGATGAGGAATAAACTTTTAATTTTTCAAGAGATTTTCTAACCAATTTTCCCGAGAAAATAAAATATATTCAAAGATGGTTATATCATTTCCATATTCAAAACATTCAACACAAATAAAATAACTAAAAACAGTTACCGTCATGAGAAAAATTGTTGATGAGACATGTCAGAAGAGCGCCCCACAAAAAATAGAATAAAATAAAAAATAAAAAGTGAAACAATTATTGAATCAAGGGCATAGAAACTAGTAATGCTAGCCTGAAAGAGCAGTGTTGAGAGCACTATGCACATCCACTCCGATTTGGGCTTCGGCTTTCTCCAAATCGGTTGTGGCTGAGTTCAGTTTCTGGGTGAATTCTGCAAGACCCTTTTGGACCAGGCTTGGGTCAATTTGATCAATTGGCACAGCCTCGACGGCAATTATATCTGCATAAGAGTTTGCATGGATGAACGCAAACCCGCTGCTAACAAAATACTTGGTCACTTCGTTGCCTTCATGCACTGACAAAATCCCGGGTTTCAGCTCCGTAATTGTTGCTACATGTCCGGGAAGAACACCCATCTGTCCAGTTGAAGCTGGAATTATGACCATGTCAACCTGCAAGATCACACATCTAAAAGTAAGATAGATGAAGACAACCATACCATTGTTTCACATGTTTAAATTCACCACTGCTGAAACTTGTATCCTTATTCCCATTGAGATATGATGTCAAATTGTGTGTTAGAACGAACAGGGTAGTTAAGTTCTTATTTATGTGGGATACAGATCAAATAAAGAGGATTGATTTTAGATTGCCCCACCCCTCTTCAAACAGAATTTCATTGAAATTCTAATTCTACAGGTAACAATGAAGTCTTCTTTCCATGTCAATTCCAGTTCTAAGCACAACTCAATTCTAAAAGATATAGTTCATAATATCAGCCTTTAAATCTTGATCTACATATCATTTGCGATATTACAGTTGTGTAGTTCTTGAGGTATTGCCTCCAACAGAAGCTCTACACTTAAGCGCAAGTTTGTTTGGGGGACACAGCCTTGAGATTGGATTAATAATAACAAAATACATAATCCCAGTTTGGCTAAGAAAATTGGTTCGGATAATAGTTCACCTAGACAATTCCCAATATGGAGGGATATTGAATCCCAATAAGAGGGGTGGGATATGAAATGGAGGAATAAGAAAAGGTTCAGACCAAGGTTTTAAAAAGCGGCCGCAACCGTTACGTAACGCCGTTACGTAATGGTTTTGGCAGTTACCGCCACCCGTTACGGACGCTTTTGCAGTGTGATTGAGATTCACAGGTGTGTCAGCCGTAGCGGCTGCCGTAGCGGTCATAGCGATGCCGTAACAGCCGTAACGGCCTGTTATGCACCGTTACAGCAAACTGTTTCTTTTGAAAAAAACACACAAAAAAGGCTGAAAATGGGAGAAGAGGGATAGAGAGAAAAGGGAAGATAAAGAGAGAAAATGGAGGAGCAAGAGATAGAGAGAGAGAAGAGGGAAGATGAATAACATGTTATTGATTTGTTGAAGCTGCTTCACCTATGTTATTCTATTCAGCTGCTATCACTAAACCATTTTGTTTGTGTGCGTCTATCTATATATTGTTTGAAAATAATAATAATAATTATAAGTGTGGTCATTATCTATTTGGTTTGGTTAAAATATGTGTATATATATATATATATATATTTAGGCTCTTATTTATTCTCTTACTTTTGTCAATGTTTATCTTTTATATAATAGTTAGTGATTGATTTTTTATATAATAAAATCATTAATTATTAAAATAAAATGTAAAAAACTCAGTTTATAGTAATTTAAAAATATGAAATATATTGGGTCAACTAAAAAATTTATAAAAATTGATCAATATTTATTTTTAACCCAATAAATATGATCATGGAAAAAAAAATGTGTATCGATAAGTTTTTTTCAAATTGTGTGAAAAACAAAAAAATTCACGATTCCGGTTACCGCAACCGTTACACTACGACCTTTACACCCCGCAACCGCAACAGCGTCACCACCACCGTTACGGTGACCGCAACTGCTTTTTAGAACCTTGGTTCAGACTAATCGACTAAATGACTATATTGATAAAAAATATTATCAGTCCCTCCTCATAATCTTGAACCAATCCAAACATGAGATAGGATACACAATCCAAAGAGATTGATAATCCCAAGACTATCAATCCTCAAATGCTAATCTCATCTATCCAGTCCATCTAAACAAAGATGGCCTGTGAGTTTCAGTTTGAGCGAGGAGGAATCAATCTATACACATCCATTTCTTTCTTGCAAATTGCAATTCTGCAAAGAAAAATGCTTCAGAGCTTGAATTTTCTGTGGCTCCAGTGGCTCAAATCCAAAACGACATCGTTTTGGATTTTTTTTTTTTTTTTTTTCCTTTCCTCTTTTATATCTGAAACAGAAACAGAGGGAGGAAGGAAGAGAGAGAGAGAGAGAGAGAGAGAGAGAGAGAGAGAGAGAAGGAAGAAAGAAGGAAGGGGGAAGAGAGAAGGAGGGGAGACCATCACCAGCACCCGCCATCCTCTGTGTATACATAGATTTGTGTAGACACATATAGATCTGTGTGTGTATACACAAATCTGTATCTCTCTCTCTCTCTCTCTCTCTGTGAAGTCTCTGTGTGATGATGATGATGTGTTGGTTGTTGATGATCTCCTCCTCTCCTTTCTTCTTCTTTTGTTTTCTTCTTTCTTCTTCTTCTGTGAGTTATGGAAAGGATGAAGAAAAGGGAGGGGGGAGGGGGGGATCCCAAAACGACGTCATTTTGGGATTTCGGGCCACTCGAGCCACGAAAAATTCGAGCTACATGGTGGGATTGTTCTGCAAAATACATTTGGACTCAGTATTTGGAAGCCTCGTCAAATCAGTAGATATAACATTCACTGTAAGCAAAGTATATTTGACTGGAGGAATCTCAGTTAGCATTTCCAGGAAATCAATATGTGTATCTCATTGAAACACCATAACCTTGCCAGTTACGGTTTCCCTTTTTGGAGTCAAAAGGCTTGTCAGTTTGTGATGCCTCAAAGCATTTTTTGTTGCACATAAATTAATAAACGTTACTAAATGTAAACAAAACATGGGACTGCTCCCAAACCACAGGAGGTCAAAAAATTTATCCTCGTAAAGCACAAATAGTACTGAAAAGTTAAATGCACAAAAGTAAACAATCCCTATTCACCTTCAAAAGAACACAAAACCCAGCAGCACCAGCTGTCGAAGTCCATCCAACTGTAAATATATCATATACCCAGTTTCCACCTTCTTGGTGGATGTATTTCTTTACCACAACTGGGGAATACTATGACTGAAGGCAGAAACAATGACCAAAAGCAACTACTCGAAGAAGTTATTTTACAAACATTACAATTCTTTTTTCTTTTTTTTTTTTTTTTTTTTTGATAAATACAAACACTACAATTCTACTATTGAGAAAGTACATTTATTACCCATGTGAAGCTGCCCAATACCAGGAACTAAATATCATTCAAAAATCATAGTGAACTACCAAAAAATCATAAGCTAATAATGCCAACCTTGATTATTGGAAGAAATTTAGATGACAAAACAAAGCTATCATCTTATTCCTTTTCATTTTCTTGTTTTTAAACTTGGCCCAAGGAAAAATCAGAAAAGTGAATCAGTGGCTCTTATGATGATTGGACAAACAACACTATTTCCATGCATTTTAAAAGTGAATCCATCATAGCACACATAGAATAAATAACTGTACAAGTGTTAAGGAAAATAACATATAAATGTATATACAAATACCAATTTGCATCCTGGGGGAAAACAGACAACCAAAAATCATATCAATAATAGACTCATAGCATTGCAACAGCCTAAGAGAAGTTTCAACAAGCTCTATCTCACAGCATGCTAAGCCTTTAACAACCATGCAAGCTCTTCATGAATGACAACTCAGGTGGACTCTAAACAGAGTTCCAAATCTTTTATTCAAGTTTTATCAAGCAACCACTAATCAGATGTAGCACAAATAAAGAAAATCCAGCCACATCAACCAGAATGCAATCAACAACATTTTAGCTAAGTAGTCATACCAAATAAATAAACAAAACCTTAAGAAACACTAGAGAAATTGAGAAAATAAGGCCCTTAGAGCCACAATGCTCAAAATGGCTCTAATCAAATTTTCCATTAGCAAGAGTACTACAATAACATTTGATGACACCAACAGAGTATTTAGAAGAGCATATGGTTTTCATAGATTTAGAAAAAGCTTATGATAGGATGCCTATATAATATGGTGAGTGTTGAACAAAAAGATTGTGATCAAAAGGGTATATTGATGCGATAAAAGATATGCTTTAAGACTTTTTAAAGGCTCAAGGCACAAAAAATATAAGGACCATTACACCGAAGACGGACTAGCTAGACGAGATTTTAGAGAATTTGAAAGCTGAAAGCTGAAAGGTGAAAGGTGAAAGGTTGAGAGTTACAAAAAAAATATAGAACCTTAAAAAAAGTGAAGAGCAACAACACTCAACACACGCAATGTGATGGAAAGTTATAGGAAAAGGGTTCCAAACACACTAATTGTATTTTTCTAGACCATGTTTATTTTAGGGCTTTAAATCCCTAAAACTTTAATAAAATAATTCTTTTGTTTAAATTTTCTTTTGTCAATTTTTATGCTTTTCATAATTGAAGGTTTCACTTGTTTACAGTGTGTAATTAATTATTTGGAATCCACTAAGAAGCACAAGCATGGATACAGATGCGGATGTAGGCACGAATGCGGACACAGCGATTTCAAAAAATAGGGACACGGACACGGCGACTAATATTACATCCACAAACAATCAATATTAACAAAAACCAACTCTAATTCTATTTTTATTTTATTTTTTTGATAAAAAAAAAAAATTTAATTAACATTTACAGTTTATTTCTTTTTTTATGGATGATCTATTAAGTATTTAAATTTAAGAAAAAAATAATAAACATTCAACATTCATCAAAAGTACTAAATAAAATGAGAAAAAAAACTTGGCATGTCTCTAGTGTGTCCCCGAAATGTCCCTTGCGTGTTCCCTAAAAATAAATTAATTAAATAAGGGGACATGCCACACGTGTCCCCGAAGTGTCCGTGTGTCCGACACGGATACGGCACATGTTTTGAAGTGTCAAAGCTTCAATCCAAATCAGAAATAGGAACTTACAATTAAATAATCAATATTGTTTAGTCCAACAACTAAACAATGGATGTTAGTGACATGAACTTCGAAATGTGTTAAAAAATTTCACATTTCAAAATTATGTCTACGAGAACATTTGTTGCATTTTTTAATCAAAATACAAGGGAATAGCTCCTCGTGTTTTATACAAGTCATTTAATGATGCACAAAGAGATATTGTTGACAAAGAAGTTGCTTGGATTTTCTAGGCCATTGGTTTACCATTTAATCTTGCAATGTCTCCTTACTTCCGGAAGTACTTATAGACTCTATTAAATATCAGTACTCATAGAGACTAGTACTTATAGACTCCAGTAAAAATACTCCTTCATATGATTGGCTACGTATGACTTCACT